GAAAAACATAATCAAGTTAATGAATAGAACAGTTTAGAAGATTTGGATAAAAACAGTTCATAATCAGTTATGGATAAAAACCCAACGTTGACAAAACCACGATTTCCAGTAAATAGTAACTGACTCATGATGTGAGACTTGCTTGTTCTGCAGACTTTTCTGTTGAATAGAATTTGTTGAAATCAAATTAGCAAAGCCCTAATTATCAAGGGCCATTTGCCATGATATAAGAATAGTTTTGCTAAGCAAAACTCGAATATATTAAAGTGGCTTCATCAGTAAGATTTTACCTGTAGTAATCAGAAGTAACTAACTAAACCAAGAAAATCTAAGAGAATCTTAGCATTCATATCATAAGCAATCTTTTAGGCAGAAAATATAAAGATCCCAGAAAGTACACAAATAATTTACCTCACATATTCATCAAAACTAACTCTCAAATTTTAGATAGCTAAATATTTTCAAGATTTTGGCCTTTTCAAGATTGTCATTCAAAAATATATGCACCATTGTTCTATGAGATTAAATTATGATAAAATAACTTCTTATCCTTAAGGAATTTCTATTTTAGGTGGTAGAAATACTTTTGTGTGAAATCACAGAACATTATAACAAAACCAAAGTACCTGTTAAGTTGCACTCCATGTTGTTTGACATTCCATCAATATTTGGAAGAATATATCCAATGTCAGGGACAATGATAGCATCCATGAATATAAGAGTTAAGATTCTGAATTTAATTTTCCTAGATGTTTTGGCACTGTGATTTAGTCACTGCATTTTATCCCGATTAAGCAACTGGCACTCATTTTACAAAATTGCAAGAAAAAAATGTCACTATGGGTCTTGGAGATGAACTCATTGATTTTGGCATGCATCAACAATACTCCAAAGATAGTATACTATCAACACTCATTTTAGTCCTTTTACTTGTTCCAATGGTAGGTAGCATGTTTTATCACATAATTTGTTTTAAAGACTGAAACCTTCTCTGTTAAACATACAGGACTGTGAACCATTCTCTGGTAAAGTACATGTTCTATTAATCATAATGGAAAAAGTTCAATAGGTGTTTTTAACTTAGTGTACAGGTTTTTCCTTTTTTTTTTTTTTTTTAACTATCTGCTTCCAGGAGGTTAAGTATGGTAAATCTAATTATTTCAGAAAGGGCTACTCCCCCTCATCTGAATTCCATTCAAGTGTAGTCAACAAAAGAAAGAGTGGTTTAGGCAGTCTTAACTTTTTTTTTTTTTTTGCGGTACGCGGGCATCTCACTGCTGTGGCCTCTCCCGCCACGGAGCACAGGCTCCGGAAGTGCAGGCCCAGCGGCCATGGCTCACGGGCCCAGCCGCTCCACGGCATGTGGGATCCCCCCGGACCGGGGCGCGAACCTGCGCCCCCTGCATCGGCAGGCGGACCCCCAACCACTGCGCCACCAGGGAAGCCCTTAACTTTTTTTTTAATATAAATTTATTTTTTATTTTATTTATTTTTGGGTGCATTGGGTCTTCATTACTGTGCGCGGGCTTTCTCTAGTTGCAGCGAGGGGGGCTGCTCTTCTTTGCAGTGCGCGGGCTTCCCACTGCAGTGGCTTCTTTTGTTGTGAAGCATGGGCTCTAGGCACGTGGGCTCAGTAGTTGTGGCTTGCTGGCTCTAGAGTGCAGGCTCAGTAGTTGTGGCGCATGGGCTTAGTTGCTCTGTAGCATATGGGATCTTCCCGGACCAGGGCTCGAACCTGTGTCCCCTGCATTGGCAGGGGGATTCTTAACCACTGCACCACCAGGGAAACCCAGTCTTAACTTTTTGAAAACTTATTTTTAGAAGAACTAGCAAAATGTGTTCAAAGTAGTAATGGTTGTTTTACTAACTTTATTTTTACACTGCTCTATGGTTCTTTGTAACTAAGTCCTTAAAGTTAGGATGTTTTTAATTAGTGACAAATGGACACAACAAATACTTTAAAAAGGTCAAAAGTGAAATGAAATTGGCATTTAATATGACAGTAAAGACAGAGTGATTTGGCAATCAAGAAGCACAACTATTTAAAACAGATATAAGGGCCTTTTGTTAAAAAAAAGTCAAATTTTAGTTGTTTTGTTTTTGTCAC